TGCTGCACGACAGCCCCATTCAGAGTTCACCCTGAAAGACGGTGGTGAAGAAAAATCCTCCCCGTAGGCAGAACTTTGGGCAATACATATATTATCCACTTTGTGTGGAAGGAAAGAGGGGCTAAGGTGCAGATTCATATGGGCTCTTGAGCAATATCTGATGGGCTGGTCATTTACAGAGACTTGGAAAGAACACAACTGGGAACTTGACGACATGATGGTCTAGGGAAGAGGTCTGTGGATGGCTTCTTAAAATGCTCACAAAATGGGAAGTTACTCATGTCCCATGTAAATGCAATGTAAGGTAATCAGTGCAGGAGTCCTCACTAATTGGATGAGATGACCCATTCTATAGATTCAGCCAGCCTCTTTCCTTAACTAAATTGGTGCTTTTTCAATGGACCGATCACAAAGTGGGAAGCCACCAGATTTCTATATGTCTGTATAGGAGATGTCTGTGTTCTTCGTCCAGGTTTTCACACAGTTTTTTTTTTTTTTAACTAAGAAAAAATTTATTGTGGTAAAATATTCATTAACATAAAATTTGCCATGTTAACCATTTTTAATGTACAATTCAGGGGCACTGAGTACACTCGCACTGTTGTGTAACACTCACCGCGGTCCATCTGCAGAACTTTCCATCATCCCCTTCCCACAGCCTCTGGTAACCGTTATTTAACCTTCTGTGTCTATAAATGTGCCTATTCTGGGTACCCCATTTGAGTGGAACCATATGATATTTGTTCTTTTGTGTCTGGCTTATTTCACTTAGCATAGTGTCTTCAGGGTTCATCCATGTTGTGGTATGTTGTCAGTAGTTCCTTCCTTTTAAGGCTCAGTAATATTCCATTTTATCTATGGACCACATTTGTCTTATCTCTCCATCTGTCCATGGACATTTGGGTTGTTTCCACCTCTTGGCTGTTGTGGATAATGCTGTTACAAACAGGGGTGTATGAATACCTGTTTGAATCCCTGCTTTCAATTCTTTTGGTGCATACCCAGAAGTGGACTTGTTGGATCATAATCACAGGGGTTTTTTTGGTTTGGGGGAGTGGTTTGGCCACGTACGTCACACCACGTGGCTTGCAGGATCTTAGTTCCTTGACCAGGGATGGAACCCACTCCCTCAGCACTGAGAGTGTGGAGTCTTAACCACTGGACTGCCAGGGAATTCCCCATAATCACAGATTTTTGTTTTTTGGGTTTTTTTATTAAAAAAATTTTTTTTTGGCTGCATTGGGTCTTTGTTGCTGTGCGCGGGCTTTCTCTGGTTGCAGCGAGTGGGGGCTACTCTTCATTGTGGTGCGCGGGCTTCCCATTGCGGTGGTTTCTTTTGTTGCGGAGCATGGGCTCTAGGCGCGTGGGCTTCAGTAGTCGTGGCACGCAGGCTCAGTAGTTGTGGCTCGCGGGCTGTGGAGTGCAGGCTCAGTAGTCGTGGCGCACGGGCTTAGTTGCTCCACGGCATGTGGGATCTTCCCAGCCCAGGGCTTGAGCTCGTGTTCCCTGTATTGGCAGGTGGATTCTTAACCACTGCACCACCAGGGAAGCCCACAGTTTTTTAAACATGCTCAAGTTAAGTCTTTGTTGCATCAAGTTAACCATTTTGCAGCATCATTCTTTTTTTCATCTCCAGGAGTTTGTGACACCTGTTCCTCCCTGTAAGGAAAGTAGTGTATGTGGCAACAACAGGTTTTTGTTTGTTGGGTTTTGGTTGGTTTTGGTATTTTTCTTCTTTTTTCTTTTTTGGTCACACCACGGGGCGTTCAAGATCTTCCCCAACCAGGGATCGAACCTGAACCCCCGCCTGTAGTGGAAGTGTGAAGTCTTAACCACTGGACCGCTGGGGAAGTCCTGGTTTTGTTTTTTCATAACAGCAGTGAAAACTCTTTTGGAGCCAACTTTTGATGGAAACACCATCAGTTCAAATGCCAAGACAGTTCTTCCAGGACAGACCTTTTGATTCTAGATATGAAGAAAACATTAATCATATCTTGGCTGTTTCTATGTAAAAGCTGTTTGCCACAGAAAAAAAAAAGTCTTGATTACCAGCATCATTTACAAATCTTAGAAGTGGCATTTATCAGTGAAATCTGTTGACTCACCAGCCTGGATAAAGAATCTGTTATTTTTCAGCTAATTACCAAGAAAAAAAAAAAAAAGGTTCTTCAGCATCACGTGACATCAATGCGTTGTGTTGTCACTCTCTCTGAGAGTAGAATGCTTACTCTTTTGTTGAGCATCTTGCGCTAACACGTCACTCATATAATTTTACATGCCAGCATTATTGGGTTCTTTTTCTGGACAATTGGTCTGTTACAAATAACTTGCTCTTTGAGCCTTTGTACTAAATGTAGCCTATAAAAGCCTTACCCTGTTTGTTTTGAGATACGATAGGTTAAAAATTAGCACATTTATTTGTCAAACGGCTGTAATTTGTAATTTAGTTCTCTTCAATTTTCCTGAAGCCATTGCTACACTTGTAAATTGTAATTCTTCATCGCTAACCCTACCAGATCTGTCCACAGTCCTAAGCTCCTCCTCTTTCACTTCACACCTGATGATAAAACAGCATCACGTGGAATCGCTAGACACATTTGTAAAACACAAACACTAATAAGACATACAATAGAAGGGCATCATATATAACTAAACAGGAAACTTGCAACAAGATATGAAATCATGCTGAAATTCACTTCTAACCTGCATAATTCATGTTTTATAGTGTTCGCATCAACAGCAAAGTGGCAGGGAGGCCGCTACGTCGAGGCAAAAATGATTTCCTTAGAAGAAAAATTTCCTCTGATTTTCCATCACACCAGAAAGAGTGTGAGTCAGTCATTTGCGCCTAAGGGGAGGTGGAGGGAGGTAACCAGGAGGGCGAGGCTGAGGTCACCTTCTTTACCACCGCCTATCCGGGCAATACCGTGTTCACACATGATCGACAGACTTCCTGATCTCACGCTGAAAACTGAGCAAGGCCCCACCCAATGAGCACTGCAGACGGGGCTGAACAACGTTTCACAAATGGTTTCCAAGGCTGCTCGATTACTGTCCCTCACTGAAAGTGCTGGCATCACACAGCACATGAGTTTCAAAAATAATGCTGAGGTGTTTTTTTTTCTCGTCGCAAGACAGAATCCGTAAACTAGAAAGATCTCAAGGCTAATTCCGTGGTTTTGCAGAACGCAGAAATCTCTGCCCTAGAATATCGATCCTGTCTGCTTGTTGATCCACGCTCTAGCCTATAGGAACGGTGGGAAACAGAGGTTCCCGGCCCAGTGCTTTAAACCCAAGACCTGGAAGTTCTCACATTACTTCTGCTCTCACCGTTTGGCCACGCCTAGGTGCAAGGCACACTGGGAAATGTCATCTCTAGCTGGGAGGCCACGTGCCAGGAAGAGGAGGAGAATGGATTTGTGGAACAATTAGTAGTCCTATCACAAACTTTTGCCTTGTCTGCTACTGGTGACAGACACTGAGCCCTTTGAGGGCTTTCATCGCTGGGAACCTGATACCCAACGCTGCTATGGACTTGGCTGTGACCAAGCACTCAGGAAGCAGCTGTAGTCAAACGAGGGACCTGAAAGCTCCCAGAAGATCGAGCAGCTCATTTATACTCTTTGAGCCACAGTACCTTCCTCTGTAAACTGGGGGTAAATAATATCCATCCTGTGAGGTTATTGTGAGGATTATATTAAAAGCGCATACAAACCCATAGAATATACACCACCAAGAGTGAATCCTAATGTAAACTATGGAATCTGGAGGATGGTGCTGTGTCATTGTAGGTTCATCAATTGTAATAAACGTACCACTTTGGTTGGAATGTTAATAATGTGGGAGACTATGCATGTGGTCAGGGCAAAGGCATATGGGAAATCTCTGTACCTTCCCCTCAATTTTCCTGTGAACCTTACATTGCTTTAAATGAAGTCTTGTGGGCTTCCCTGGTGGCGCAGTGGTTAGGAATCTGCCTGCCAATGCAGGAGACACGGGTTCGAGCCCTGGTCCGGGAAGATTCCACATGCCGTGGAGCAACTAAGCCCATGTGCCACAACTACTGAGCCTGCTCTCTAGAGCCCACGTGCCACAACTACTGAACCCCGTGTGCCTAGAGCCCGTGCTCCTCAACAAGAGAAGCCACTGCAATGAGAAGCCTGCGCACCACAACAAAGAGTAGCCCCCACTCACCGCAACTAGAGAAAAGCCCGCGCACAGCAACAAAGACTCAATGCAGCCATAAATAAATAAATAGATTTAAAAAGAAAAAGAATTTCTTAATGCAGGTCCTCAGTAAATAATGGCTGATGGTTTTATTTTAGTAATAACCCAAGAGAGGTATTTCCTCTTCATCCCTGTCAGTGATGAAGGAGAGAATAACGATACTAATTAACATTTATTGTGCTGCAAGTATAAGTTTTACATATCTTAACTTTTTTGATCCTTTGAGGTAGGTGTTATTATCCCCATTTTACAGAGGAAGAAACTGAGGCATAGGAAGATTAAGCAGCTAACCCACGGCCACACACCTACAGTGGAGTTGGGCAGTTTGAACCTTAGAGCCAGTTGGTATCTAGGTACAACTGGGGACTGGACCATTTGGCTTCTTGAAGTTTTTTCCAGTAACAGAGCTAAACTTGCTAAAGCAACTGCTGGGGCCTATGATGTCACCCCAGAATTCTCTGTCCAGCTTTCCCATTGACCTGCTGGGTCACCTTGGGCCAGTCCCTTCCCCTTTCTTGACCTCAGTTTCATCCTTTTACATTGAGGAGGTTAGACACACCGATCCTTGATTCTGGACTGTAGCCCAGGAGGAGGCATTTGGGAATTAGGCCTACTAAGGGGCCTGTTTGTGACATCATAGAGGGGAGAATTCCATGAGAAGTCAGGCTTTCCTAGAAGCCCCAGTGCCACAGCTTAGGCGAGAAAGGCAATCCAGGAAGGGCTCTTAGGCCCACATCTTGAGCTTTCCTCAATCCGGGGTTCACAGCATAGCCATGGATCAACCCTCGATGGCTGAAAAGGCTCAAAGTGAGGCAGACACTGATGACTCAGATGTGTTCTCTCACCCCAGCTCACCAACCACACACCACAGGCCAGGCCATGGTGGAGTCCACCGCCATCACCGAAGGGTGTCCGGTCCCCATGGTGAGTCCCACCATCATGGCATATCCCCTCATCGTGATGGATCTCAAGACTTCCATGACAATGCCTTCTCCCGCCATTCCCACCGCTTCCACCACTCCTCATCCCTCTTCCCGGATACTTCCTGTGGTGCTTTCATCTCCCACCATTCCTATGGTGAGGACCACTTTGATGATGAGCACCACCACGGTAGCAGGAGACATCATGGGAGGCCCCACCAACAGAGGGAGTCCTACCACCATGGCATACTCCAGCAGCACAGGGAGTCCCACCACCATGGTGGGTTTCACCACCACAGTGAGGTTTCCCACCATAGTGGGCTTTATCACCAAGGTGTGCCTTACAACCATAGAGACATCTCCCACTCTGGTAGCCCTGCCCAACACAGTGAGGCCCATCACCATGGGGGGCACCACCATCATGAAGCCCATCACCACAGAAGGCCTGCCTCCATGGGGTCCTACCACCGTGAAGAGCACCTCCACGGCCACCGTGACGAGCACCAGCACAGAGAGCACCAGCACGGTGCACATCCTCGTGATTACCTCCACCGAGAGCACCGCTATGGGGAGTACCGTCGTGGTAGCTCCCAACTCTCTGGCCCACACACGTCCCACAGTGTGGCCTCAGCCTCCCTCGGCTCTGCCTGTTCTCGTCAAGTAGCCCCCCAACCCAGCAAGCCAGATAGACAGAGCTCGGCCTTCAGCTTGGCTCGTTCCCTGAACACAGCGTACTCACACCCTGCCCAGACCTCCAGCAAAGTCCATCCTCAGGGCTCCTCCTCTAAAACCTCGGAAAGCTGGCCCGAAGAAGACGAGCAGATTCAGAAGCACAAAAGTGAGTCTTGGCTTGTCCCCCACCCCCCAACTCCAGCTGCCTGGCCCAGATTCCAGGCCTGAGTCAGGCCCTGCACGTCCTTCCGCAGATCATGAGGCTTGCTCTCACCTGCAGGTGTATCCCATTGGCTATTCACTCGCCTGACTGTTCACCATCCAATCTTTTATTCCTGGGATTAGGCACTTCTCCAGACTGTCGGTTGTTGGTTCATGCAGTCACTGCTTTATTCATTCGCATGTTCACTTCTCGAACATTTCCTCTTCTCTAGTATGAAAGCTGGGGGTGATCACTTATACAGCTGATCCCAGACTACCCAGTGAGAGGGGTCTAGCATCCGTATCAGAACATTTACCACCGTGGATTGCTTGTCCATGTTTCCCCCACTGAACTGTGAGTTTCTTGAGGCCAGAGGCTGGAACCAGTGCCTGAATGAGGGCCTGGTTAGAGGGCAGGGAGGGACTTTGGCTGTTAACATATGATCCCCCAAACTTGGCCCCTGGTAGTTCCGTAAACACGGCATCAGCTTCACAAACAAGCAGTGAGGGATGAGTGTCTAGTTGTTTGTGGGCAGAAAAGTCAGCCAACAGGGGTGATGTTTCAGCAGAATCTTGGAGGGAGAGGGAGAGTTTACCGAGAGGATGGGGTGGCGAGGAGGATGGGGTCTTCCGTATGTAAGTTGCCACGTGACTTAAAGAAAAGCATGGAGGTGTAGGAGCGTGAGCTCAAGCAGACCTCAAATCCCAAGCAAGCTGGCATCTGTCGGGGAAGGGGTCAAGCCTGTGGCTCCTATACCAGCACAGGACTAGCATGGAGGCACCTGAGTGAGCTCATGGCAGGCAGGCCTGGGAGGGAGACCGGATCGCCGTGTCCCCTTCCCCCATGGGCTTGGCTTTCTGGCCCTTTCACAGCTGGCCGAGCCCCACGAACCCACAAGAAGCTGCACACTGTGGACCTCTTCTATTTGTTGTGGGAAAAATTAAGCCACCTCATTTGGGGCCTTTCGAGAATGCTCAGGAAACTGACTGACTCCCTGGCCTTTGAAGCCTTCGTCGTCTTCATCGTCTGCCTCAACACCATCATGCTCGTGGCCCAGACCTTCGCTGAAGTCGAGGTCCGGGGTGGTAAGAGCCAGGGAGCCCTGTTCACATGGAGAAGGCCACTGATGTTGTCCCAAGCCTCCCGTGGGCCGGATCAAGTGCCAGGGGATTTATATCGCTTATCCCATTTAATCCTCACCCTGGGAAGTAAGCGGCATTGCCCGGCAGTAGAGTGAGGCTCAGAGAGTTTTGCTGAAGTCAACCAGCCCGCCAGAGGCAGAAAAGCCCAATAAATTTGAGGTTTGCTGTTTTGGACTATAGCCACCAGGTGGCGCATCAGCTCTAAGTATGCTGCTTTGCGGGAAGGATGCCCAGAACCCAGGTCAGCTGGAAGGGCCAGGAGATTGTGCAAGCAGGAGGCCCTGGAGGGATGAGGGTGGGAAACCTGGGAAGATGGTCCCTAAAACCCTGGGGAGCAAAGTGAAGGTAAGGACCTGCCACAGGTCCCATAAACTAAGGAGAGAAGAAGAGTGATGTTTCTTGCAAGCTGTTTCAGGCTCCATTCTAAGCCCTTTACTATGTGAAAAGCATTTTTTTTTTTTTTTTTTTTTTTTGCCGTACGCGGGGCTCTCACTGTTGTGGCCTCTCCCGTTGCGGAGCACAGGCTCCAGACGCGCAGGCTCAGCGGCCATGGCTCACGGGCCCAGCCGCTCCGCGGCATGTGGGATCTTCCCGGACCGGGGCACGAACCCACGTCCCCTGCATCGGCAGGCGGACTCTCAACCACTGCGCCACCTGGGAAGCCCGTGAAAAGCATTTAATGCTTGTGGAAATTCTATCAGGCAGGCTGTTATTATCACCATTTTATAGGCAAGAAGAGTGAGTCACAGAGCAGTTAAAACACACAGCCACTGGGCAGAGTCAGGTTCTCCCTGAATGGCTGAGTGTGAGGTTCCAGTGGGGAGGAGGAAGGAGAGGCTGGGTTGCTGCGGAGACCCCTGAGTGAGACCCCCCTCCCCCGTGTCCCCCACAGAGTGGTACTTCATGGCCTTGGACTCCATCTTCCTCTGCATCTACGCGGTGGAAGCTGTGCTCAAAATCATTGCTCTGGGCCTCAAGTATTTTTTGGACCCCTGGAACAACCTGGGTGGGTAGGGATGGGGCGTGTGTGTGTGTGTGTGTGTGTGTGTGTGTGTGTAGCGGGAGCCCCTGAACTGCCCAGGGGCGACAAGAGCAGGGGGTGTTGGCACTGGGAGGTCTGTGAACCTGGGCAGGAGCCCATTACACCCAGGTGCCCCTGTTTCTGTAGATTTCTTCATCATGATCACGGCTGTGCTGGAGTTCATGCTCATGCAGATCAACTCTTCCTCCATGCGCGTGGTCTACAACCAAAGCATCTTCCACATCTTCCGCATCCTCAAGGTCTTCAAGAGCCTGCGAGCCTTGCGAGCTATCCGGGTCCTGCGGAGGCTCAGGTCAGCGGACCCACAGCTGCCCACAAGGAGGCTGCAGACTCCAGCCTGCTTTTCCTGCCATCCACTAGGATCAATCTCTTTATTTTCCAGAGAGGGTCTGGGACGCCCCCCGCCCCAAGTCACCAGCAAATCAGGGGCCTCCCACCCCTGTAATCAGCAGTGTGACACCTGTAGTCGCTCCGACTGCTAGACACCGATCCCCACCCCACTGACGCAGCCTCTCTCTCAACCTCTGCCCACAGCTTCCTGACCAGCCTCCAGGAAGTGACCGGGACCCTGGCCCAGTCCTTGCCGTCCATCACCGCCATCCTCATCCTCATGTCCACCTGTCTCTGTATCCTGTGCCACGGGGTCTGGGGCGGGAGAGTGAGATGCTGCAATGGATGGAGTTGGGGGGAGGGACCAGGAACTGGGGGTGGCAGGGAGAGAGGAAGAAGGGGAGAGAGGACCCTGTGAGCCTGGTTTGGTCCTCAACAGCCAGTCCTGTTCTCTGTGGTGCTCCGGGCACTGTTCCGCTACTCTGACCCCAAGCGCTTCCAGAACATCTTCACCACCATCTTCACCCTCTTCACCTTGCTCACCCTGGACGACTGGTCCCTCATCTACCTGGACAGCCGAGCCCAGGGTAGGGCAGGCCTCAGGCTTGGTGGAGGGCAGGGGCTGGCTGAGTGGGCAGACCCTGAGGGCTCAGTTACCCCATCTGAAAAGTGGGGCTTCTGAGGCTGGCTGGCAGGGGTGTGGTGAGGACCGGCAAGGAACTGACAGCTCGAACGGCCCCCTCTCTCCCAGGCGCCTGGTGCATCATCCCCATTCTCATGATATATATCATCATCCAGTACTTCATCTTCCTCAAGTGAGGCCCCCACTGGCCTGTGCTCCCCAGCTTCACTTCCCCCAGCTTAACCCCGGGGCACCCCCTCCCCTCCCCGCTCACCATGGCTCTGCCACGATGAACCCAGAGGAGGGTTCAGGGCCTCGCCTCCAGCCTCCTCCTGTCTCCCGCCCCAGCCTGGTGATTGCCGTCCTGGTGGATAACTTCCAGATGGCCCTGCTCAAAGGCCTGGAGAAAGTGAAGCAGGAGGTAGTGAGGGAGTGGGGCAGGGGGACGAATCAGGAAGACACGGGGAGAGGGACACAGAAGCTGGAGGGAAGGAAGGAAGGTGCTCCAGGGATGGGCAGACATGGGACGCTGGCAGAACTGAGGCCTCTTCTTCGCAGAAGGCCTCCCAGATCCATGAGAAGCTACTGGATGACTCACTGACAGAGCTCATCGGAGCAGGTACCAGCAGCCTGCTTCTTCCCAGGCAGGCACAGAGCTCCAGGCTCAGCTTTATTTATTTATCTATCTATCTACCTATTTATTTATTTATTTTTGGCCACGCTGCGCGGCTAGAGGGATCTTAGTTCCCCAACCAGGGGTCAAACTCAGGCCCCGGCAGTGAAAGCGCCAAGTCCTAACCACTGGACATACTGCCAGGGAATTCCCGACGCCCAGCTTTAGAGTCTTAGAACCAGACACTCAGGAGAACTTTCAGAGCTTAGAACTTCGGTCCAAAAAGCTCCACGACTAACCGCCAACAACCAATTAAACTGATAATTCTTGAAAGACCCATTTGCAAAACAACTAATTAGCCAAATTATGATGCACCAAACATTCGTTTCTGTTAATAACTTACAAAGTTTATAGCAGTTGGTCTTATATGAGGTGGCTTCAACTGTCTTTGAGGCTTTTGTCAAGGTGTTATACCCACTTGTCCAGAGTCACTCAAAGTGTCTATAAAAATTGAGTCTATAAAAATGAAGTTTTCTGTACATGTTCATCTTTACACACCTGACTTTCTGGGTAAATAGATTTTGAGCCAATTGCTTTGCCTCCTGCTTAAAGACCTTCAGAACTTTAGAATCGGAGCTCCAGAATCCCACTCTTAGGATCATCAACACCAGAGGACTAAGGGCCCTCAGGGGTCACCTGGACCCCCACCTGCCCTCTCCATCATGAACACTCAGTGCAGAAAAGCTTAAGCAAAAAGAGGAATTAACTGTCTTAAATTATTAGCAACTTGAGAGTTCATGGGCTTTCAGGAACGGCTGGATCCAGGACCCAATGATGGTTGAGATTTGGTCTCCTTCCAGTTCTCTGCTCTGTGGCTCTCTGTGTGGTTTTGTGCTTAGGGTGCTCTCCCTTTGTGGTGGGAAAGTGACCACCTGCAACTCTAGTCCCAAATCCTCACAGTTTAAGTATCCCAAGCTCTCCCAGCAGGGGTCCCCTTCTCCCAGCGGTTCGAACAACATCCCAGAAATGAATCTCCTTGGCTCAGGTTGGTCACCTGCCTATTTCTGAACCAATCGCTACGGCTGAAAGGATAGGCTATTCTGCTTGGCCAGGCTTGAGTCACATGTCCTTAGAGCTGGGGGGTGGGGTCAACCCCAGCTAGGCAACATGCACCGAAAGGGGTGGGAGTGGTTCCCCAGGAAAACTGGGAAACTTTTACCAAAAGAAGAGGGAACGCATGCTGGATGGGCAAACAAACAAAACACACTCCATGCCCGGAGAAACAATCTCTTTGGGGTCATCCTGGACAAAAACCCCGTTAGCTCCTGTTTGACTATCTCCATGACACACGGGGTTTCCTCCACCTTCTCTCAATCCAGGCAGCGTCTTGACCTCCCCCTTCTTTCCCTACATGCAGAGCCTGAAGAGGTGATAAGTGGACACACTATACAGAAGCAGCTCATTGAGAAAAAATTTGGAGGCATGACTGAGAAGTAAGGAGATGCAAAGGGAGGGGAGGGCTCAGGTCTAAGGGGAGAGGTCCGGGGGCCAGATCGGTGGGCCGCCGTGGGAAAGGGGCATTGCCCGCCTCTCTGGAAGGGTGGTAGAGCCCTAAGGCTTATGTAAAGCCTGTGGGTGGGATGTGGAGGCCTTGGGTGGCTTCTGCTCACTCAGAGTCAGCTGGTACCACCAAGAGAATCCCACCAGCAGCACCTGAAGGGCCACGAGAGCCCCTCTGAGGCCGAGGGCCCAGGGCAGGGGCAGCGGACAGAGGCTGCAGGAGCAGGGGTTCTGCTCATCTTTTTGCTCCAGAAGCATCCCTGATCCTTGCTCTGGGCCAGGTTCTGTGAGGACTCCAGAGGCCCAAAGCGGACACAGACTAGCACCTGTCCGTGAGGGGCCCCCTCTAAAGACCTTGGCGGGGCCACGTAGGGTGGGCGGACTCCAGCTGGCTTCAGGGATGGGGAGGGTGGGTCGGGAAACAGCTTGGTAAAGGCCTGGGAGGCAGATGTCAACGCGAGTGGCCGGCTGGGCCAGGACAGCTGGGGACTTGTGGCTGTGCTCATGGCCAGGGGTCCTTGGCACAGACTCCTGCACCCTGGCTCTCAGGCCTGGCTCCCCAGAGAACCAGCCTGACTGCTGGCACCTTCCAGGCTCTTCTTGGCCACCGACAGAGCTTGAGCGCCAAGCCCTCCATGATCACGGCCCCGCCCCACACCTCCAGCACATCCTGGCTTTACGTACAGCACAGCACATACTTCTCCACCTTCAGGCCTTTGCCCACACTGTTCTCTCTGCCTGGAATGTTCTCTGGCTGCCAACACCAGGCTCAGGTGATCAAGAGCCGGAAGAGCTGAGATCCAATCCTGCTCGTTTCATCTCCCGGCCGCCCTCCCGGCTGCGCCCTCCCGGCCGCCCTCCACCCTCCACATTCCAGATCCTGGTACCTTGGCCTGGGCTCCTCTGTGATGCTTTCCCTGGGGGGTTCTCGGCCTCCAAACTCTTCTCCACTGGCCCACCTCCACCTCCACTGACAGTGGTCTTGTTTTCGTTGTTTAGTTTGTTTGAATCTTTTTTTTCTTCCTTCCTTTTTCTTTTTAATGATTTAGAGACTGATCTTTGTTAAACGTAGTTTTGGCTTTCCCTGCCTTCCCCGAGTTTACAGCCCTACAAGGCCTCCTGTCTCCCTTAGCTTAAGGTCCGGGCGCCCTGCTTTGACCTCCCCTGGATGTCTCCACCTTGAATTCATCCATCCCGAGGCGCACCCTGGCCCCCAGTACACTCCCTGCTGCTCACAGACCTTGGCACACCAGAAACCGGGTCTGAGCTCAGCAAACCCTCAAGTGTCTTTCAAGCTCAGCTCAGTGACGCTTCCTCCAGAAGCCTTTCCTGATCCCCAGTACTTGGGTGAGGTTTTCCTCCTCTGGGCCCCTCGATGCCCTCTGTTTATACTTATCACAAGTTTAAACACCCTTGGTTTGCTTTCCTGGCTCTGCCACAGACTGAGCTTCTTAAGGGCAGCGGCTGTTTCTTATTTGTTTCTATGTCCTCGGAGCACCGTGCAGTGTTCTGATTTCAGGGTTATATGATGGCTGGATTGATAAAACAGGCTGGCAGTGAAGGAGTTAATGAATGGGTAGTGGGTGGGGCTGGGGGTTTAGGTGGATGGCTGACTGTGAAGGGGTGGGGGCGGGGCCGGGGAAGAGCAGGTGGATGGAGGGGGATAGGTGAGTGAGGGAAAGGGCGGGGCGGCCCCATGGGTGAGGAATGGCTAGATAGACGGGTGGGGATGTGGGTAGGTGGTTGAGTGGGTGCAGGAGTCAGCATGGGGTAGCTTGGACGCATGTAGGCATGGGCGGTTTGGAGGTAAACAGTTTAACCGTCAGAACCCTCTGTGGTACCGGCAGCTGGTGGCAGCAGGGGCGCGGATATTTGGAAAAGGAAATATACCATGGAGGGCCACACACAGAGAAGTGGCGCCTGTGGCTGGAAATGGAGGCATGGGGTGCTGTGAGTGGGGGGAGAAGGGGGCTCTGGGGGCTGAGATGGCCCAGCCTTGCCTCCCCCCCTGCCCCCCCCCCCCCCGTGCCCTCAGGCAGCGGGAGCTCCTGTTCCACTTCCTGCAGCTGGTGTCCGGGGTGGAGCATTACCAGCAGAAATTCCGATCCCAGGCAGCTGTCATCGATGAGATCGTGGACACCGCGTTTGAGGTGAACCAGGCAGGACCTGGGAGGAGCCAGATGGAGGGGGAGGGCACTGGAAGGCCGGGCCTCGGGGGCTTTGCCTGGAAGCCGCCCTGAGTAACAGTGGTGTGGGCCTCTGGGAGGCAGAGGGCTGGCGCCATCACCTGCCACCCCACCCCGCAGGCTGGAGATGAGGACTTCAGGAAGTGATCCCCAGAGTGGCAGCCCGAGTCCAGGCTTCAGCCTCTGGCAGGCTCTCCCCCAGGTCGGGCCAAGTCCCCATCTCTGCTGGAAAGATCACTGGGCCTGCAGGGCTGGGCCCCAACAGAGCTTTAAAACCCCGGGTGGCTCCGTGTCCTCCCTGGCTGGGCCCGAGCCGCAAGGGAACCTGTGGGCCTGCACGCACGTGCATCCTCGAGCATGTGTGTGCGAGTGTTCCAGGTGAAAGGCTCTGTCCTTGGATCCCTCCCTGCCCCACTGGGGCCTGGCATCCTGGCCTGGCAGGGCCTTAACAGCAGCCAGCGGGGTGACGTGGAAAGTGGGCCAGGCTCAGTGCTGGAGGGAGAGGGAGCGGTCACCCTGTTTTGGGGAGGGAGGCCCGTCTGGCCCAGGAGACAGGAGAAAAAGAACAGGACGGTTGTCAGGGCCCGAGGGACCAGGATGCTCCAGAAACGATGTCTCAGAGCCCAGGCCTACCAGCACCGTCAGCATCCAGCAGAAGGGTGCCAGCTCGATGGGGGCAGCCTGAGCTCAGAAGGCAGAGGTCATCGCCATGCCCTGCCCTGCCTGGGGTCAGGCTAAAGAGCCTCAGTGAGGGGAGGGAGGGTGGAGGCTGCTCAAGTCCTTGTGGCCTCGGGGTGGGGGGCCGGGTGTGTGTGGAGTGGACAAGCCTCTGTTAGAGGGAAGCAAGGGATGAGTTCCCCTGCTTTTAGCCTGAGCCTGGGCAGGATGCCCAAGACGGCGGCGGGGCACTGAGCACTAAGTCAAGCCCAGCCAGAGGGAGGGAGGCCTCCCACCAGATGGGGAGTGAAGCTAGCAGAATGAAGCTGGAGGGGATCGGGACGGAACCCGGGAGTGGGAGCTGAGAGGTGACAGACAGTTTTGCCAGCCACCCCGCTACCTCCAGTGCAGACCAGACAGTGGTGACGTCTTCGGGCCCCCGGACAGAAGCAGCGCGTCTCCTCCCTGGCCCGGCCGAGGGTGCGGGCTGGCCCAGGGCCCGGGCATCGACTGTGCGGAGGAAATGCCATCTGGGATTTGGGCACAGATTCCGGGGGTGGAGAGGCCACCTGGCCTCACCTCACCCCACCACCTCACACACTGATTCAACAAGCATTTCCTGCCACTTCTCACCCCGTGGCAGCCACTCAGGAGGCTCCTGCTGGGTGGCACATGGGAGCTCTTCCAGCGGCTGCCCCACCGCAGGCCCCCGGGCTGTCTGCGCAGCCATATCCGACAGGCTTGAGCCGCTGAGAGGCTGGAAGTTTTCCCTCCATCCCTCATTCCTGTCACACTCAGCCCCTCAAGCTTCCAGGTGGGAATCAGTTCATTTGCCATCTCCCCATCCCCACCCCATACGGCCTCCCAGGGCTCTAGAGGGCAGGGCCTGGGAGCGGGGGCTGTTCCTCAGTAAGTGCCAGCATCGGCAGGGAGCCAGGCAGGCATGAGCAGGCACGAGGCCTGGCCGGCCGGGCCCCAGAGTGCTCTCCACCGCCACCCTGTCCAGCCGCCTGGGCCTAGGGGTGCCCACACCTCGTGCTCCCACAGGATCTGCTTCCTGCCCATCCTGTCTCAGGCATGGGTGTGTGTCTGTGCATCTGAGGAACAGCTCCGGCTGGGGCAGGTGTGTACCTGGGGCTGTGTGTTTTGGGGTGTATTCTCCAGGTTATCCTCGGGATGCGGGTGTTGCTTCTGTGTGTGTGTGTGTTTCCGGTTTGCTAGGTTATATGTGTCTTTTTCTGGATATATGTGTGGTGTCTGGGAGCAACCTGAGGGTGCATGGTGGGTTTATGTGTCTGTCTGGCGTCTTGCGAAGTTCTGGATGTGTGTGTGTGCATGTGTAGTGAGCGTTAATTCCAGCCACAAATTCAGGTGCGCAAAAAATGTTCCATCTCTTCTTTAAATGACATTGAATTGCATCTGTCCCCTTATCCCTCCTACGGACAGTGGATTTGACCTCGGTCCCCTTGGCGCTCCCTGCCAGCCCCTTGCAGGCGTCTTGCTCAGGACAAAGCACTGGGGAGTCCTTCCGGCATGTGGTCCACAGGGTCCAGCCTTCGTGGTCTCTTGGCCTGCAGGGGCTCTGCCATGTCTGGGCCACATGCTGGTATAAGAATCTCACAGGCTGAGAGCTCAGTGCACTGGGGCCAGGCTGGCTAAATCTCCCACGCGCCACTCTGAGTCGTCCTGCCAACTGAGAAGAAGCAGAACTCAGGTGCGGCTCAGAGCCTTCACTGGCTCCCGTCCCTTTCCAGTCTTGGGGCATCATCCCTCTCCTGTGACTTCGTCTCTGAACCCACAACTCTGCCAATATTGGGAGTCTCTAGAGGTTCGTTCCTCTACGTCTGTGATGCTGGGGTGTTCGGGGGACCCCAAATTTGGGAGCTGAACTTTGCACCCTTAGCACCGTCTGGGCTGAGACAGCAGAAGCTCAGCTGTGGGTGGTGTGGGCACCCTGTCAGCTGGAGGCAGGTGTTGGGAGCTGCCGAGAGTGGGACTGGGGAACAGGAGAGGGAGGAAGAGTGAGGCACTCAGAAGAGACCAATGCAAGAAGCAGTGCTAGCAATTTATTGCCACACATATGGTCCAGGAACCTGACATGCCCTCCACCGATGCGCTCACTCCTGCCCAGACCCGCCTGCTCCCTCCCTCCCCCAAGCCCACAGGGGTCTACTACAGGGTCACACAGTCGTGCTTTAGAAGTTGGAAGGAGTTCTGCCAGGGAACCATAAGGATCTCAAAGTCACAGCGCAGCTTCTGCAAATAGATCATGAGGAAAGAAGGAGGGGTGAGCCCAGGCCCCAGGCCGCCTGCTGCCCACAGTCAGCCCTGTGCCTGCAGTGCTCCGGGATGCAAGGAGGAACATCAAGTTAGATGCCAGGACCAGAGCCCAGATCTTTCCAGCCCAGCCCCTCACTCCACGGGGAGCCCCAGCCTGCTCCTCTCTGCACCTCACACTGCTCTCAAGGCTGAGTCATCCAGGAGGCAGGGACAGGGCCAGCTGCTGGCCACTGGGTGAGCTGATGCCTGGCTGGGGGCAGGGCTGTTACCTCCTGCTGCACCCCTGCGGCCAGGGGGCAGGTGGTGAGGTCTATGTGGTCTCCAGCCATGGCATTCTTCCGACAGGCCGTGCTCCCCATCTCCACGGTCAGGTAGTACTTGATGCCTGCCACCAACTGAGGCAGAGGTGGGGGCAGGTCAGGGGTGCCGGGGGACAACCTTTGACCTGGACCTCTCACCTCCCTCCGTTTACTCCCATCTCCCATTACCTTCCCTAGGACATATCCAGCACACCGCCTTTGGGATTCAGGTCTGGGAGGGGGGGAGAGGAAGGGCGGGGAGGGGGGCGGCAGGCAGTTCTGGTGGGGAGCCCTGGGGAGAGGGGCAGATCCTGGGCCACGCAGGAGGCTGAGACCCAAGTCCACACAACTGCCCCATCTCCCTCCCCTCCCCCCCCAACTCGCCCATCCCGGCAGGGACTAGTGTGAGGCTAGTGAGGTAGCCATGCAAATTCAGGGTTGGATCTTATTCGAAATTTAGATATTCTGTTCCGCAAGAAGTTTTGGCATTAATTGGATTTTGAAAAATATGTTGTATTAAAATGCCACGCTGATTACTCTTGTGTCGCCCCCTCCATCTGCGGCCCGGCTGGGGCCGCGCTCGCCTCCCACGGCCCCGCCCCGCCCCGCCGGCCGGGCGCACCTGGCTCTGCGCCCGGAGGATGGTGGTGTCGCGGAAGTAGTAGATGCTGTTGCTGCCCATGTTGTAGCTGGCCATGGCCGCCTGCGTCGCCTTCCGCACCTGCGGGTCGTTGGGCGACAGGTCCTGCCGCTCCCCGACCTCGCGATCCCCCGGCCGGGCCCGGGCGTCGCGGGGCAGCGCCAGGAGGCAGAGCGCGAGCAGGGCCAGGCCCAGCGGCAGCAGGAGCCTCGGACGCGCCATGGTTGCCGGCGTCGGTGTCCAGCCGCGGGCCCGCGCCGCTTTTACGGGCTGCGCTGCCCCGCCCGGCCCCGCCCGCCGCGTGCCTCCACCGGCGGGGAGGGATCGCCGGGCCTGGGCAAGGCCGCCTTCCGGGCGCCGAGGGGGACAGCGGACAGCCCCGAGCACACCTGTGTATCACGACGCTGCGTGCCCTCCAGGCGCACCTAGTCCAGTGAGGGAAAGGGCAAGGACAGCCCCCAGCAACAAGTGCCACCAGTGGGACAGTTCACAGAGGCCCATCACGTGTGAAATACCAACAACAGCTACCAGCAAGCTCTGAACTGTCTCCACTGTGTAGCCTTGGAGAAGTTACTTAACTCTCAAGGCCTCAATTTCCGCCTCTGTGAAACGGGTTGCTGTGAGGATTCAATAAGTAAAGGGCTTAGGGGAGGCCAGGAGCTGTATAAACAGCAGGTAAGTAGGAGATGTTACTGCGCCGAGCGGGGCACTGTTTAACCCTCACAACCAGCATGATGTGGGGATCAGTAATGTTTCCACTTTACAGAGGAGTAAACAGGAGAAAGAGGGAACAACTGATTTTGCCCAAGGACACCGACTGGTAAAGAGTAAACGGTGACACTGGCTTTTGAGCCCCAGCAGTCTAACCCAAATCTGTGCTCTCAAGCCAGACTGAACCCAAAGAATAAGAACTGGCCAGAAGGAGGTGTGAGGGTGGTCCCAGCTCTGCCATTTACTGCCGGGGGGACTTCCAGCAAGTCCCTGGACCTCTGGGAGCCTCAGTGTCCTCATCTGAAGAAATGTGACAACTCTTGTCTTCTAAGGTTGTGCTGACAATAATGGCCTGAGACTGGGTCACCCATAGGTAAACTGGGCCTGTGCTGGAGGTACCAGCAATATAGGGCTATGATGTTTTTTGGAATAATCTGACAATTAATCTATAAAACACAGAATTGAAGTAGTCAACACGGGAAAAGTCTGTCTTTTGTTGGAATGTTTTAGAATTAGTATTTTAGAGTTCAGGGTCATTTGTACTTTTAATCACTTGTTGCCAGGGGGAGGTGGGGCTTTTTGCTCCTGGGACACAAAGATCTTATTAGTGCTTAGGGCCTCCAAGGATCTTACCTGGGGTTTGGGACAGGCTGTGGTTTTCAGTACCCAACAAAGTGTTGGTGCTTAATAAGTGGTAGCTATGATTGTGATGAATATCGTGAGAAAGCATCCAGCATCCCCCCCGGCACCCCCACCAATTCTCGGCCTCTCAGAATCCCAGGGCCAGGAAAGGCACTGATTTCTCCCAGGGAGACCAGGACCAGTGTGGTCACTGCCCAGTCCAGCTACTTACTACCCCACCCTCTCAGCCCAGCTGTGAAAAACAATCTTTGGATGCCAAGGGACAGTCTCAAGTTTGTTGTGGGCTCAGGTGTCTGCCTTAAAGGGACAGACCC